ACAACTCCATCAAAACACAGGTGCATCAGGATAATCTGGGAAGGAGACATGGGAAATAAATAAATAAATAAATAAATAAATAAACCCAGAATGATTAGAAGAGGAAAGGTTGATGTTAGCCCCAGCAAAGGACAACTCAATATTGCACATCAGCTGAAAAGCTGGGATTGCATCCTTTAGAGGTCCAGACATCCAGCAGGTCATTCCTTCTGGGAAGATGCTGGTGGTGGCTGTGAATTCCTGGAGGAACCCCTCCCAAGCATCATCCCATGAGCAGCAGGGATGATCCCCACCACGACAGAATCATTTCCAGCCAACTTGTGCAACCAGGCCTTGCCAGGATTCTGAGTCAGTGCCAGGCCGTGAGTTCCCACTGGATGCTGCAATCCTGGAATTGCGTGGAATTCCACGGGTAGAGACACCACCTTGTTCCTCCAGAGCCCACAGGATGTGGAGAATGGCCACGGATACAACCTAATCCTCCACAGAAGCGGGTGCCAGAGATCTCAGACATCACCCTAAACTAAACAAAATAACCCCCAGAGAGGAGCTGGGGCAATCCTGAGTCACTGGGGTGTGAGGAAAGGACAGTAAATTGATTTTCAAGGGCTGAGGTGGCAGCAGGAGGGGGGAGACAAAAGGGACGTGCAGGGGGGTGGGAGATGAGTGTTGGAGTGGGGTGGGAGATGAGTGTGGGAGTGGGGTGGGAGATGAGTGTGGGAGTGGGGTGGGAGATGAGCATTGCAGACACAAAGGGGAGGCTGAAGCAATGATTACTGAGACCCATCTGTCGAGGGTTTTATCCCCACATCCATCTGCTTGGGTTTGGAGAGGAGTTTAGGGTATTGCTGGAAAGCAGATGAGTGTGTGGGGTTGGTTTTGTGGGACCTGAGGTGACTGTGTGACCAAGGACAGATTCCACCACCACCCCCCGGTGTCCAGGGGGATAAGGGAATATTTGGGAATCCAAAGCATGTCCCTGTGGGAGATCCTTGTATTCCACTACAAAATCTGACACACCACACAACATTGTTTAACGCATCTACCAGGAATATCCATCAGAACCAGCACATCAGGAGCACAGGACATTTAATGAGCTTTGGCAAGGCCAGTTTTCCCAAAGTGTCCGTGGGCCTGGCCAGATTATCCCAATTATTTCTGCCCAAACTCGTGGGAGTGTTTTGCTTCTGAAAACTCACCCCCTGCCCATGCCCAGCTGAAGGGAGGAAAGTGGTTTTTAAAGTCTATGATGTTCTGAGATGGACAAATAAGAGGGTTTTTAGGTGAAACAGGGAAAAACTAATGGGATATTTATGATGTGTATGCTGGGAATGTCCTTTGGAGACTCATTTAATGGAAAAGCTCTTCATTCACACCCTTAAATGAGATGCTTGGAGTTAGATAATGATCTCTGTGTTTTATGCCAGTGAAATATGATAAATATAGGAGATTAGGACCCTTATAAATTCTTAGTTACTTTATAATTTCAATTATAACATTTATATACTTTATTATTGTATATTTATAGATAATATTTGATACTTCTATAATGTTTTCTATTAAAATAGAATAGTAAGTGTTTACTTTGTAAGCAAGACTGTCAGTTTTGCTGCACCCCACTGAAAATGGGAGTAATTTGAATTTTACTGCACTCCTTTATCCAGTAATTCATTCACTGTGCCCAGTTGATGCATTTTAAGCCTTGCCAGGACAGGGATCAGCCCCACAGGGCCCCAGAACTCACCAGCCACACAAACAGCTGAAATCAGAGGGAAAAGACATTTATTCTTCTTCAGAAATAACGATCCCCTGCAGGGCATGAACAAATAATTATCTCCACTATTTCCTATTAAGATTAACAATATTTTATCAATGACGTTTTATCAGTAACATCTTTAATATTAATATTTCCCCAACCCCCTCCACATTGTTGCAGTTGGCTCTGCAGTGGGTGGAGCTGCAACTCTTGTTTTTTTTATTTTTGAGGAGTTTCCTGGCACTCTCTGGAGCCTGTTTGTCTTGGCACCCCCCTCCCACATTACCCATGCCTCAGTCTCACATCTGAAAACTCTGTTTGTAGCATCTTGTGCCTTTTGGAATATATTTCTGCAGTTCAAAAATGTAATTTAAAGTGTCTCGTCCCCTGAGACACTTGTTAATTTTCTGTTAGATCTATATTTTTTAAAAAATTTTTGATTGGTTCAACTCTTATTCAGATTAACTCTCACTATAGAGGACTTCAAACATTTCGACTTGGCAAATGGTCAGAATTTTTATAAGGGAATCCATTATTCTCTCCCAACATCTGCTCTTAATATTCCCCAGTGTTTTTGGTTTTTTGTTCTCCTCTCACATGGAGGGGTTTGTTTGCTTTTTTTTTTTTTTTATTTTTAAACTCCAGCACCACCACCCAGAGAAGTTGGGTCTTGCCTCACTGATGCTGCTGATAAAAATGGGCATTGATTTCGAGACAAATGAGACTTTTAAGACAAAGGAGGGGAGGTTGAAAAACATTTATTTGTAAGGCAAAATCCTGTCAGGAAGATGAACTCGCCACTGGGACTGTAAATGCTCAGATCATCGGCCAAGGAGTTCTCACGTTATCAAATTCTTCTCAAACTGCATCATCTGAAGCTTGGGGGGGGGGACAGAAAAAGTTGGGAAGTTTCATTAGAAATTCCTTCTGTCTTGCCTTAACTACAACAAACGTGTGAACAACGTAGAGATCCTGGTTTGTGAGTTAAGGAGCAGGGAGTTTTTCACCAGTCCAAACCGCAAATGTAAGAATTCCATCACCTCTTTCCCCCCAAAAAAACACCATTTCTGGGTCACTTTTTGGCTTTCACTGGGGCAGAGGCATCCAAGGCGAGAGATATTGGAAAAGCAGGTGAATCTAATCAGGTTAGACCTGCCAAATCCCCCTGGATGCTTGCATTTTGGATGCATTTTCCTCCTTAAACCACCTTCTTGTCCACGGAATTTTAAGCAAAAAAAAAAAAAAAAAAAAAAGGGTTATTTTAAAATCCCAACTTGTTGGTTTTCCAGGTATTTTCACCGGGGGCAAAGGTCAAACCAGGAGTTGACAGGAACCAAAACATCCCGTGGAAAATAAATGACTCACTCTGTGCTGTCACCGTGGAGTCTTTTGTTGGCACTTGCAGAAGGATGGAGGACACCTGGGAAGACAACAGGGAGAGGATCAGGAATAGTCCAGGGTCTTGAAAATACGACCTACAGGAAAGATGGAAAGAGCACGATTTTTAAGGAGAGACCTAAAGGTACAATTACAGTTGTAACATAATTTTCCTGCTACAAAGAGGCACTAAAAATCCTGGTGCTTTGCTGAAGAAAAAAGAAGAAACAAGCGAAGAGTTAAGGAAAGAGTTCAGGAAGAGTTAAGGAAAGCCCCCCTTTCCCTTCAATTTATATAAGATTTGTCTGGTACGTATTTAAATGTGGAAAACTTGGAAGAAAGCTAAAGAATGTCAGCTGAATGTCTCCCAGTGCCTGTGGCCAGCTGTGGAATATCCTGGCTCTGCTGGGATTTGCAGGTGAAAACTTTCCAGCTCACTGGAGGGGCAGATGTGCAGGGCAGGTCTGGAGGTGCCACTTCACTGGCACTGCAAAACAGTTCCTCCTCACTCTAAACCATTTACTGAACCCTGCAGAGCTTTTGGTAGAATCCCAGGAATCCCTGAGGCTGGAAAAGCCCTCCCAGCCCATGGATCCCCCTGTGCCCCATCCCCACCTTGTCCCCAGCCCAGAGCACTGAGTGCCACGGCCAGGCCTGCCTTGGACACCTCCAGGGCTGGGCACTCCAAACCTCCCTGGGCAGCTGTGCCAGTGCCTGACCACCCTTTCCAGGAGAAATTCCTGCTGATGTCCCACCTGCCCCTCCCCTGGCACAGCCTGAGGCCGTTCCCTCTCCTCCTGTCCCTGTTCCCTGGGAGCAGAGCCCGCCCCGCCCCCAGCTCCCCTGGACTCTGTATTCACCCAAACATCAGACCTTGCACAGATGAAGAGCTGCTCTCAAACACTGTTTGCTGCTTTATGCCCTTTATTTATTAAGTTGCTTTTTCCAGCTGAGGCCTTTCCCCATTAACGGTTCACTTCAGCAAAGAGTATTTTTTATTTACTACTGCATGAGCATCTTTCTTAATGATTTCACTGTGTCAGTCTGTGACAAATCATCTCCATGGTTTGCACTCCTTGCTCTTAGGAATAGGTGATTTTGTGACTGGCACCCACCTCCCAAGGACGGAGCAATTCCTGTGGCATGGACAGTTGGCTCTGATAGACCACTAATACCAACTCCCATTGCAGTACCAGCCAGAGGGATTCTCATGGAGTGGCACAGAGAAAAGGTGTCCTGTGCAAGGACAGACATCACATCACGCTCCTTTCTCTCCGTCTGAACCAGGAATTTTCTCTTTTCAGATTACCAGTAAATTATATTACTGTTGAATTTTCCCTTTCCCTTGGTTTCCATCCCTCCCCTCCTGCCTCTTTTATTGTTTCCAGGTTTCCAGAGGATGCCATGAATGTTTCCCAACAAACTGGCAGTGCCTGGATCAGTCCCTGGATCAGTCCCTGGATCAGTCCCTGGATCAGTCCCTGTCCCAGCATCCTCTGTGAGTTTGGACCAGCTGACCCCACTGTGTGCACGTAGGGGAACCTCACTGGAAGAGCAGATCTGCTCCCACCAGTGAGAGCTGGAGAGGGACAGGCCTAGACACTGGAATTTTGGTGGAAGGGGCCTTTTCATTCCCTCAGCTCTGTTTCCCAACAGCTTTTCCCTTCGGCATCTGTCCGAGTTCAGGTGGGAGGAACATGTGTGTGAGTGTTGTGTCCAGTGTAACCAGGCTTCCCTCACTCTAAGCCTGGAGTGATGCAGAATCTTCCTCACCTCCAGTCATCTGTGCTAAAACATTTTTGAGTGGGCCCAGCCACCTCCACCCTTTCCACCTCCTGTAGTCTGATTGTTGGCACAATCGTTGTCCTGTCTCTGTCCGTAGCTCCTGACTCAGTGTTATCACAACTGCAGAGTTTTTCCAAGGGCTGCTCAGGAGTGTGGAGCACCAGCTCCTTTTCCATACTCTCATCCTGCCCCCTCTCCTCTCTCCCACTCACCCACGAGGAGCAGCTGCAGGATTCACTGGCAGCCAGAAGGGAAGACGAGCAGACAGCTGTCACGCCGTGATTCAGCCTTTCAACTGTGGTTTGGAGGGGAAGTTTTGAGCTTTATTTCCCACTTTGCAGAGCAAAGAGCATCTGTTTTTGACACTTGCAGCTTTGTGCTGATCCGGGAGGTTGATTTGCAGTGACAGATTCCGTGTGGGGAAGCTGAACTCGAACAGTCAGTGCAAAACCTTCTCCTGACGTTTTTCCATTGATCGGGTGAAATTAAATCCAAATTATTTACAGAAGGGCAGAGTGTTTAAAGGGGAATGAGAGAGAGTGTGATCTCTCAGGTGCTGTAAGTGGTGTGACTGGGAGCACAGACAGACTGGCTCTGAGTTTTATTTTATGGAATCTGAAGGCAGCGAGAATGAAGAGCCTTTGGCTCGGAGAGTGGCCGTGTGTGCCACAGTAGTGAGGGACAGAATGGATTCTTGGACAGGCTGGGAACGCAGAGAGCCAAAAGTGAGTCACATGGGCGACTGCAGACACCACAGTTCATTGTGTAAGAACTGCAGCAGCACAATTGGAGCAGCCCCACTGACCTCACAGCTCAACGTGCTATTTAAGGTCTGGCTCGCAGATGTTCCAGGAGCACCGAGCCAGAGCCGGCCCGGAGCGTTCGACCGGGGAATATTTACAGCCTGAGCCTGCCCAGGAGATGATTGCCCTGATCCTCTTCTCTGCCCTGCTGTGGGACGAGGCTGGAGCGTGGGGCTTCAAGGATGGAGTGCTGCACAACTCCATCTGGTTGGGTAAGGAATAACTTCGCTCCCTCGGGAACGTTTTGCTGCAGGAGCCGCTGTGTTTGTCCAGCAGCACCACAAAGCTGAGCTGGGCATCGCTATCAATCAGCAAAAATCCTGCCCTGCAATTCCTGAAACCATCTGAGCTGAGTGGTGGGTAGAAGTTTTTACATTCTTGCTGTTTTGCCGTTTCTCTGAAAAGCTAAGGATGGAATATTTATCCAAATGTGTTTTTCCTGCAGCATGAGGTGAAAACTGCACTAAACAGCAGTGGCTTCTAATAGAGTAAAAAGGGGTCTGGAAAGAAAAGAAACATTTGCCAAAGGAATGAATTGCTTTCTGCATGAACATACTTCACATGCCTGGGGTCCTGCATATGAAACTAAATGGTCTGGAAATAATAGTGGTGATATTTCCAAGGTTTCTAGAAAAGCACAGAAATGTCTGTGTTTTTGGCCATGGGTTTGCTCACATCATTTAACAGGGCACAGGAGATTTCCAAAGGGCAAGAGAGAAAAAAAATGCTGTGGGAAGGGTATTCTTGGACCTCAAGTGGGTTTAAACAGCTCTGAGGTTCTTTTAGAGATCTTTATAATTATCCAGGACAACAGGAAAACTTACTTAGAGTGGAGTCACACAAAGGATGCCAAAATAAAGGCATGCACTGAGTGCTCTGTTTTATTGACAAATGCTTACAAATCCCTTCTCCTCTGCAGAATGCTGTGTGATTCTGTGAGGATTTTAGGGAATCCCTGTGTTTCTGTTGTGCTCAGATGCCCCAGGAGGGACCAGGACCACGCTCTGGCAGCTGGTGCAGCACCCACGTGGCTCCAGCCCCTCCCAGGGGACCATGTAAACCACCAGGAACACAAATGAGAGCCAGAAATTATCTGTATTTCCATTTGACTGCCCATTTTTAATGACTCCTCTCCCCTCCTGAGCTTGGGATGTTCCTCCTGTGTCCCACAGCCAGGGGGGAGCTCCAAGGCAGCTTCAGGTTCCACCTCCAGTGGCTGCTGTTCAAAAACAGGATGACAAAGGGAAGGTTTGTGTGGGAAATGAGCAGAAGTTTTTGTTCCTGGCTGGAATAACAGTTAGGAGACCCAGGAGATAAGGAGGGCTGAGGGTTTGTTAAGCCTCGGTGGCCAAGGCAGAGAAGTTGAGTGTCAGGTGAGACCACCCTGACGATGGGGAAGAGTCTCACACACATTCCTCATGGGCAGGGAATGGGTCCTGGGTGTTTTATTTGCAAATACTGGTGTATCTGTAGGTGTCATATCCAGCCAGGTCGGAGCTTTAGGGGCTCCAACAGCATAAATGCAAATTTGGGATAGCACTGATCACTCACTTCAGCAGTTTCATGAATCGCAGTCAAATTGAAGAAAAAACATCTCAACTTCTAAAAAATGGAGCAGCTGAGTGTTAACTGGAACGCACAGCAAAATTCTGGCTTGCTGCACCTCTAAGCATTTGCCACGAGAGTCAGTTAAAATAAACCAGGGAGGGAAAATTGATGACTTGTTCTGAATAAAACCAAACTCGAAATGCACTATCTGGTGTAACTACCACAATAATATGATTGCAGTGGAACTCAAATTGAATTACCAATGGAATTCAGTGACATTGTATAGAAATGAAAAAAAAATTTGGCAGAATCACAGACATCCAGTTCAGGCTTCTGTGTATTTTATAAAGAGAAAAAATGGGTAACTTGAACAGTAAAACAAGTCACCCCAATCTCACCTTCACCTGAGCTTTGCTGATCTCCTCTTCTGTCAAAGCACCAAACTGAAAATGTAGGGAGATTTCCATCTTCCCTTTTTTTTTTTTTTTTTCCCCAGCAAATCATAAGCACAGCTGTAAAATCCTGAATTCCTGCAGCCTGGAAACGCTCACGTCCTACCTTTTCTCTCCTCACAAACATCTCCTGTTTCTCGGTCAGGCTGTGCAGGGCAGTCCTGCTGCAGCTGCCTCCACCACCTCCCTGGGAATGCGTTCCCTGTGGGAATGGAATGTTGGTGTTGCTGGTTTATTGTCCGCTGATGGGAGGGTTGGGACAGTTCTTACATCCTTATTCCAGCTCCAGTTCGTGGTGCCACAGGGTAGGTTTTCCAGCACTCTGTGCTCAGAATTCCATCCCCATTCCCACTCCACATGTCAGGGTGGTTTAGGGGCTTTTCCTGCCCCGTTTGGTGGAGTTCTCTGAGTTTGACCATGTGTATTTTTCAGAGGTCCATGCCGAGAGCTCTGCATAAAAGCTAAATATTCCTTTTTATTCATTATTTAATGTTTGTTCCCTGCATATTGTGAAGACTTCAGTAGCCCAAATTTCGTGCTGTTTGTGTCTGTGCAGAAGGATTTGGCTTCATTTCCCCACCTCCTGCTGCTGGGGGTGAGTGGGGGCTCCCTGTCCTGGCAGGACCCCTCTGTCCCTGGGCTCCAAGGAGGGATTTTAGGAAATGGGAACTGGAAGAAACACGTGGACCCCCTGGCCCTTTGGCAGTGGGGGGCACGTGCTTGTGCTTGCAGGTTTATCTGCGTGGATGTGGTCCCACTTCCATGAAGAGCAATTCCAGTGAGTTCTCCTGCCTGCTTGTGAATACCTTACATAAATATATACATTCAGAGACATAAATGTGTCAATGAACAGTTAATAATCCTGGTGCTTTGCCTGGCTCTGTGTTTGATGAGGCACTTTGTCTGTCTGCACAGGCCCTGATGTACTGGGGTGGGGGGAGAGCAAAAAGCTGCCAGTGGAAGATCCAATCAGTTAATTAGGGAATGCTTTAAACTGGGACACACGGAGCCAGCAGCAAATCCCGACGCCTGTGGGAGTCCATGTGTGTGGTCTGGTTTTCCAGAGGCTATTTTTGCCACTTTCCAAAGGAATAACAGAGAGGGAGCTGCAGATTGCAGGGTGACAACACTCACCAGGGTGTTGGGGGAAGATTTGGTGGTGCTGCTGGTGGTGCCAGCCCTTGCCGCCCCTGTGGGGAGCAGAACTTCCCAGCAATATTCTGAAAAATACGATGCCTGTCCACAGTGACATTTCAGCAGTAAGTGAGGGGAGATACCTCTAGAGGGCTGAGATTTGAAAACAGTATCACCAGGTGAAAAAGCCAGCTGAAAACGGGAAGTTTATACAGGGAGTGACGAGAATCCCGCCACACCCCTGGTGGTGCATCCAGGGACAGGATGGGACTTTCAGAGGTGGCAGCCAGAGGATTGGGAGGTTTTACCAGCAAAGACCAGTGGCAATGAGCTCGAAGACACCTCTTGTTCCGGCTCATTTGGCAAAGGTGCCTGACCTCAGAATTCGGGTGCTCTGTGAGTGGTGAAGGTGGGATACAATCTGTACATTCCAATTCACCCCTCAGTTCCCTTCCCTGGCAGCTCAGTGATCACTAACTGGTATTCCAGGTTGTCCCCCATTTCCCACTGCTGCATTCTGAGTCCAACACAACCCTGCCCACAGCAGCAGCGAGCTGATTTATCAGCACTTACCACGGGCTTAGACATGACAGGCTGTTGAGGCAATGAAAAGCAATACTTCCTAGGAATAAATCCTTAATTAAAATGGGGCTTTGTTAATATAACACACCACTGTTTCACAGCTGGGAGTTGTTATGGCTCTTCTTTGCAATAAAACTGGCTTCTTCAGAAGGGTTTTTCCAGGGAGGATCCGTTATCCCGTGCCCATGCCACTGATATTCCCAGTGATGTTCCGGAAAGCAGCTCTGGCTCTTCTGAGACTGCTGTCAGCAATATAATTTATTTCTCTGGGCACGGGGCCAGTGACAGCAGGTCCAAAAACCACCCTGGCCAACGTCACTCCATGTCTATTGAGGGATCTCACCATTAACCACAATTCAGTGGTGACCAGGGCTCTCTAACAACCACCCTAACCCAGCCAAAACTGCTGACTCCAAATATATCCCTAAAAAAGACATCCTTCTTTTCCCATGGCACCAATAACTACTGTAAAAGTGCTCCCTGTTTTCCATCTTTTTTTTTTCTTTTTTTTTTTGTAGTGATAGCTCCAAACAGCCACATCTCCCAGATTATCCTAAATATAGGAGAGAGGCCTAAACAAAACCACGGCTCAGATTAAATCTGCAGGCAGTTTTCCACACATATGGCACCAGGCGAGTGCAACATGAAGAGATTATAAAACTCAGAGCAGGGCTGGCAGTTTCCAGGTTTCCCTGGAAAGCTGCTTTTCATCATATTTGCACCAGCAAAGAAAAAAAAATAAAAAAAGAAAAACTGAAGGAAATGTATGAATTTTGTGCGCAGCAGAAATGTCAGCCAGGGATTGTTCCGGCCCTGCCCTCGGTGACACACGCTCAGATATTTTTACTTCGCGTTTTTCTCCCCTTTCATTCCCGCCTCTCCTCGATCCAAGTAGCTCTGATTTAACTTCTCTGGAGACTCGAAACAAAGCTCTGATTCATCTTCCAAAGGCTCTTCAAGCTGCAGCCAGAGGGATGCTGTGATAGCGATCCAGGAGGAACTTCCCGGGAACGAGGCAGGATCCACAGCCCCGGGGGTGCTGACACCCGGCGTTCCCAAAAACTGCCCTCACCCTCGGCCCAGGGGAGTCCTGCCCGGCCTTTGTTGATCTACTGCCGTTCAAAAATTCTCCAAGCTCTGTTGTTAAAAACTTCTCCCAAACAAACCCAACCTTTGGGAAGGATGGGGAGGGATGGGAGGGAAGTGTTTTCCCGGCACTCCCCGAGCCCCACATCTGGCAGCTGGACCTTTGGCTCCTCTTCCCACCTGGCAGAAGAAGGAGGTGGAACCCCACGTTGAGGCCTCGCTGCTGGAGGTGGGAGGGCTGAGATGTGAGACTGAATCCATGTGAATCCATGATCCCAATCTTCATTCCCACAGAGCGGGCAGCCGGCGTGTACCACCGGGAATCGCGCTCCGGGAAGTACCAGCTCACCTACGCCGAGGCCAAGGCCGTGTGCGAGTACGAGGGAGGACACCTGGCCACGTACCAGCAGCTGGAGGCGGCCCGGAAAATAGGTATGGAAAAAAAATCATGGAAAACTCCTGGAGCTTGGCTTCTCACAGCCCTCGTTCGGGGTTGTCAGTTGTGGATTGTGGTGTCTGTTGTGAATTCGGGCACCGACTGATGTGGAAATCCCTGGATTTTTGCTCAGGTTGATTCCAATTTCCCACCTTGGTAACTGGAGTGTGAGCGGTGCCAGGGCCTCCCCACCCTCCCAGTCAGGAATTCCTTCCCAATATCCCATCTGAAACAACCCTCCTTCAGCCTAAAGCCATTCCCTGTGTCCTGTCCCTCCATCCCTTGTCCCCAGTCCCTCTCCAGCTCTCCTGGAGCCCCTTTAGGCCCTGCAAGGGGCTCTCAGGTGTCCCTGGATCCTTCTCTTCTCCAGGTGAATCCCCCCCAGCTCTCCCAGCCTGGCTCCAGAGCAGAGGGGCTCCAGCCCTGGGAGCAGCTCCGTGCCTTCCTCTGGAATCATTCCAATAGGTCAATCCCTTGTTTTCATCAAGATTTTTATTCCAGCCATATTTGCTCTGGGAGAAAGTGAGTTGTGTGTGCTTGGAGTAAGAAGTGGAGCTGGGTGAGGGCTCTACTGTATTTCCAGATGATTCCTAATAAGAAATTATCCATTCATTCAGAGCATTGGGAAAACAATGGGAAATATCCTCCACTCCAGACATTTTCTCGCTCTGCTGTTGAGTCAGAACTGGCTCTCAGCACCAGCACACTTGTGAAAGGGTTGCTTTTGTCTCTCTGAGCAGCTCAGAGCCCAAAGATGCCACAAAAATGTTCCATTTCCTCTCAGTGCAAGCACTGGATTGGCCTCCACCAGCCAGGGAACAAGGTTGCATTCATTGCCCATTGGGTTTAAGTTCCCAGCCCCAAAATGCATTAACAGGATCTTTCAGTTTGGCAAGAAGTGCTCGAGGCATTTCAGGTGTTTAAATTTAAATTGAAAGTGTTTTAAATGAGTACTGCAGGGTTTTAGCTGTGTTCTGTATGGAGTGTTTTATTCATGCTCAGAACTCCTCGCTGGGGACTCCTCAGAGCTGACTGAGTAAATTTGTGTGACTTCAAAAGGGAAACAAAGAACACTCTCAGACAACTCATCCAATGTATAATTTGATTACAAGTGCTGGTAGAGCACTTCAGGCTGACTGCTTGGGCAGCTATGCAGCCCATCTGGGTTTGATTTTCGTCCTCAAACAAAGCCCCAGTAATGACACTTTGTGAAGAACACAATGCAATTTTATACTCTGTGTTTAAAATGATCCTCTCAAAGTCCTCTTCTTTCCTGGAGCTCAGTTTCCACCAGGCCAATTCCACCCAGGTCGTTGAGTCATCAGCCCGAGTAAGGCTTAGCTGAAGGACAAGCAGCGTTCCCGGCCTGGGATTGATTGATCCCGTCCATGTGGCATTTTCCTCTCCCTGCTGCAGGTTTCCACGTGTGTGCTGCCGGCTGGATGGCCAAGGGCAGGGTTGGTTATCCCATAGTAAAAGCTGGAGCCAACTGTGGCTTTGGGAGGACGGGAATTGTTGACTACGGGATTCGCCTCAACCGGAGCGAGAGGTGGGACGCCTACTGCTACAACCCCCACGGTGAGTGCAGAGCAGCCCCTGCCTCTGTCCTGCTGAACCTCCAGTTCCATTTCAGCAATCTGAGGTGTTTCACGTGGGAACCATTTCCCAGGTATTTTTCCCGTGGATAAGTTTAATTCAGTGTTAACCTTTATTCCTTCTTTTTTGTGGCTGAGGTAGGAAAAGTTCTGAAAACGAATGTCATGTCCGGGACTGGCACCTTAGGAATTTCTCTTAGGAAGGAATTGCTGGCTGGGAGGGTGATGAGGGCCTGGCACAGGTTGGGCAGAGAAGCTGTGGCTGCCCCTGGATCCCTGGAAGCGTCCACAGCCAGGTTGGAGCACCCTGGGCTGGTGGAAGGTGTCGGGGTGGAACTGGATGGGCTTTAAGGTCCTTTCCCACCCAACCCATTCTGTGATTCCATGATCCTCTGACTGCAACCCTGACGGATCCAGATCCCAGCAGTGCCCTGTGTGTGTGTCTGTAATGAGATGGAGAAAAACGAATCTCCAAAGCAGATCTGGAGAGGTGACAAACATGAGTGACAAGACCTCACCCCAGGAGGTGACTCCAACATCCACAGGGCCACTGTTACGGATTAGCTTGGCATCACCTCATGTAGCAGGGAAGCTGGAAAAAGCAGGCAGCAAGAAGGAAAGCAGAGCCTAACCTGGCTGTCCCCCTGCTCCCAGTGTCCTGCCATGCCTGGCACAGCCAGAGCTGGAGTTTCCATGACGTCTGCACAGCTGTGCACTCTTTGTTTGTGCTCACAGGGCCTGCCTTGTTTACGCTCATCAAATAGCTCTGCGGGGTGGGGGCCGTTCCCAGATGTTCCACATCCAAGGGGAGACTCCTGCACTCGGAATTACAGCATGTGAGCCCGACTTTCTCCTTGTCAGCCTCTCCCCTGGGCCAGGAGGGAGTTTCTGTCCAAACACTGTTTGGGCAGAGGACAAAAGGAAACCAGAGCTGCCAGCACGGCAGAGCTTCAGCCTCTCCCGCTGACAGGATTGCTGCTCACGCTCTGCACAGCCTGGTGGGGATGTCTGAGGAGCAGCTGAGGGGCCAGGGGGACAAAGACAAACCTCTGGTGGAACTGAGCCTGTGCTCTGCTCCAGGATGCTGAAAGTGTCACCTGAGGAGGAACTTGTGGGACTCTTTGGTGTTTGAAATGTGCGTCCCACCCAGCAGTGATCGTGGAATCCCAGAATTCCAGAGTGGTTTGGGTGGGAAGGGACCTTAAAGATCATCCAGTTCAAGCCCCTGCCCTGGGCAGGGACACCTTCCACCAGCTCAGGTTGCTCCAAATCCAGCCTGGCCTTGGACACTTCCAGGGATCCAGGGGCAGCCCCAGCTTCTCTGGGAAATCTATTCCAGCCCCTCCCCACCCTCCCAGCCAGCAATTCCTTCCCAAAATCCCATCTGTCCCTGCCCTCTGGCAGTGGGAAGCCATTCCCTGTGTCCTGTCCCTCCATGCCTTGTCCCCAGTCCCTCTCCAGCTCTCCTGGAGCCCCTTTAGGCCCTGCAAGGGGCTCTCAGGTGTCCCTGGATCCTTCTCTTCTCCAGGTGATCCCCCCCAGCTGTCCCAGCCTGGCTCCAGAGCAGAGGGATCCAGCCCTGGAACATCTCTGTGGGCTCCTCTGGACTCTCTCCAACAGCTCCTCATCTTTCCTGTGCTGCAGCCCCAGAGCTGGGGGCAGCATTCCAGCTACTGGAGCCCAAATCAAACTGGAACAAGTGGGAACAATCCCAAAGGGAGTGAAGGGCTGCAGGAACAACAGGAGCACACCACCATGGGTGGGTGTGACCACCAGCCTTCAGAAGGCTTTTTGCAGAAAGCCTCTTTGCAGAGGTTTTTGGAGAAGAAAGGCCGAAAGTGAGAGTCAGGGTGATGTGCAAGTCCAGCTGTAAAGCCTGAAAGAGCCAGAAATCCCAAATGCTTTGACATAAAACACACAGCCCTGAGTCCACTGAAGTCAATCAAAGCTTCGCCTCTGAATTCAGGGCTCTCATCTCTTGCTTCCAAAATATCTTCTACCAAAAGCTGGGAATGACTGACACTCACCAAGTGCTGAAGTTCAGTCACTCTGGATGTTCCTGTGGGATTTTTTTATGGGTCTGCCAGGTCGAAGTGCCCAAAGATCCAGCCCACAGTCAGAAGGAATACCCAAACTCTGATGGTTTTATTTCCCTCTCAGGAAAGGAGTGTGGGGGAGTCTTCACGGATTCCAGGCACGTGTTTAAGTCCCCAGGGTACCCGAATGAGTACGAAAACGAGCAGATCTGCTACTGGCACATCAGGGTCAAGTACGGGCAGAGGATCCACCTGCAGTTCCTGGAGTTCGACGTGGAAGATGACGTTGCCTGCATGGCGGATTTCTTGGAAATCTACGACAGCTACGACGATGTCAATGGCTTTGTGGGCAGGTAAAGCAAAGCCAGCTGTAATATGCAAATAAATGGTTAATTTTTTCCCCCCAGAACTTCAGAGGGACAATGTATCCATTATCCAACCAGCACTGCTGAGATGTCCAGAATTCCTGATTTATCTTTCCTTTACTTTAATCTTCCCAATTGACTTTAATATTATTAAGACAGGCCTGTTAAGAGTTTGGGGGAATGGAGCTCTGCCCTTTTTTTTTTGCTTTGTTTAACCAGATGAAAGGAAGCTGCAAGAGTTTTTAGTCAGCTGCTTATCCCAGTTCTCCAGCATTTCCCAGGAAGGACTCTTAGGAATCTCAAACAGCATTTTGTGTTTGCTTTAACTGAAAGGAGGGAGGTGAGGTGTTAAAATAGGAAAAATATATTTAATTTAAGTTACTATTTGCTACAGAAGTGAAACATTGGCCAATATCAGAATAAGTGTTATATTTCATTTCTCTTATTAGATTTAGTTCCTTCTTTGCTTCATTCTCACTTTCTTCAACGTCATACTTTCACTTAACCTTTATAAGTCATGTTTAAGTGTGAAATACCTCGATTTTCCAGTACAAGGACTGCACAAAACAAACCAAAACCAAACCATAAAAAGTGATAAAAGGCACTTTTAATGCTCCTTTTCACATCCTCCCTACAGATCATGTGTAGCAAAGCAAGGATATTCTGTTTGTTTTGCTTCTACAGATAATTTTAAATGGGTTTTTTCTGACAGTGTTCTTCCTTTCTTAGCCTTGGGCCACTGTTTTTCTACTTAATGTCCTGTAAAATTCCTCTTTTTCTTGTCTTGCATCATTTTCTTCCTGAGTATATTGAGAATTACTTCCTGCATTTTTCCCTCCTCCAAACCTTACTGTGGGATAACGTTAAAAAATTCTTTAGGCAGTAGATTTAAGATAAAATCACACACACTGAACGCCTAGAATCAATTTATTCCCTTGATGTCCAAGAAAAGCAGAGCCTGGGAGCCCCAGCTCGGAGCAGGTTCTGTGCCACAATCCCTGGATCCTTTAACCAGAACCATTCCTGTCTTTTCCCAGGTTTTGTGGAGATGAGTTGCCCGACGACATCATCAGCACAGGTAATTTATTTCTGGTAAAAATAAAACAAAACACAATTCCTTCTAAATAAATGTCAATCAGCCTAATTTTCGAGGGTACTGAGGTGCCTCCTGCTGCCCTTACACAGGAAAATGGAATTCCTGACATCACAGAATCCTGGAATGAATGGTTTGGGTTGGAAGGGACCTTAAAGCCCATCTCCTTCCACCCCTGCCACGTGCAGGGACACCTTCCACTGGAGCAGGTGGATCGCTGGGAAAAGCTCAGAATTTCAGCAACAAAGAGCACTTAAAAAGCCAAAAAAACCCCACCCCCCTGAAATATCACATTTTTTATGCCACCCAAAACGTAAATTTGTTTTTCTTTGTCTCGTCCCAGGCAACGTCATGACCTTGAAGTTTCTCTCAGATGCGTCGGTGACTGCGGGTGGGTTCCAGATTAGATACACCACCATGGACACGCCTCCCAGGGCAGGGGATGGGAGGAATGCCACATCCCCCGGGAAAACAAACTACCTGTCCGGAAAATTCGGTGTTCTGTGAGCAGAGGAACCGCATTCACTCGTCAAGAACCACATCTCAGAATGAACCCAATCCAGAGATCTGTGCCTGCAGAGAGCTGAAGTTTCGTTCATCTCCTCCTGACTTTGTATTTCCTGCTTTTCTACAGGTTTTGTTAATAAACTAGACTAGGAAATAAATTATAAGATGTACTTAACATGAATAATAGAAAACTATTTTTAGGATACGAGTACTGTAAAAATCTGTCAGCAAAGATTTTAAAATTATTTTTGTATATAAACTGCTCCTTCTCCTCATTCCTTGTACTGTTCCATCAAACCTTTTGTGCCACTGTTTCACTTATTTTTAAATTCAACAGGCTCTCCTCTCCACATTTTTCTTGATTTCTACATATTTATTTTTTAGACTGTTGCTTTGGTTTTGTTTTTTTTTTTTTCCTGTCCTCCCCATATTATCATTCATTTAATTGACTGATTTCCTTGAACTCGAAGGGCCTTTAGAATAAGATGATTTTTAAGACACGTAAATTGATTTTATGGGTGGCACGAAGAGCACGGGAGCAATCCTGCCAACATCACGATTGTGGTGTGAGATGGATGGATGGATTTTTGTCAGGCTTCCTCACCCAGAGAAGAGAGATTGAAGTGCTTCCACCTCTCTGATTCCAGCAAAAAGAATCAAATGGGCAACTTTGGAATAAAGAATAAAACTGGTGAGATGAAGCATCAGGAGGAATCACTCCCCGAGTTCCTGGCACGTGCTGATGACACTGTTGATGTGTTGCTGTTGTTTACACGGGTTTGAGACTGTTCTGGTTTAAATGGACCAATTTCAACCATTCTCCACGTGTTTTTAACTTCAGTCTGAAGCAGCATTAAAGCTACCTCTGTTTTCATCCCGTCCTGAGTTTGCCATGAATTGTTTTTTATTTCTTTAGAACTTTACAGACTCTGTCACATTTTCTTGATTTAAAGCAGGAAAATTTTTAAGAGTTCCTCTGTTTCTCAGAGTGTCTTCTTGACCAATCTAATGTCCACTGAAAATCTTCCTGTGAATTGCATTTTCTTTGGAGCGTTGTGAATCCCTCCAAAAAACAGTTTCCACGAGGAGGATCTCGAGCTAATCAAACCTATCTTGGCTTTATTTATCTTAATTCTCAGTTCTTTTAATTTATTACATTTTTTTTAGCTTTTATTGCTGTAATTTCACTGGGAATATGATCCTGCGTCTTGGCTGTGCTGGAGGACAGTGTTGCAGCTTCTCTCCTGGTTATTTCCAGCACTTTATTCCTGCTCCGTCAGGAAACAAATACTGTATCCCTGCATTTATGGGATGTAGCCGTACCTAAAATCTGCTTTTTAATCCTGCCACCTTGTGTTCACAGACATAAAATGCCATTCCAGTTCTCCAGGGTAGTGCTCGTTAACAAGGAATAAGAACGAGAAAAAGCACGAAGAGAATTGTTAACATTTTATTTATGACCTGGAGTAATTTTTTACAGTTTTGGGGTTTGTTGCTCTTAGCAGGGATCAGATCCGGGGGTGTGCAGGGAATACCTGCCTGTCTGGAGATCCTCATGCAGCCAGAGGGGGGGCAGGATTTTGGGAAGAGACTTTTTCCAGGACAGTCACTCCTGCTGGGCATCACCAGTGCAGGTGAGTGAGGAAGGTCCAGCCATCGACGTGACTGCTCAGGGCTGTCTCTATCCCTGAAAAACAGGGATTCTCCACACTTGGGATCCGCTGCCAGCCCTGGTATTTCCTATTTCACTCCCAGTCACCCCCGTAGCCCTCAGGTGTCACCTCCCTCCCTGTGCTCAGGGAATTCCAGGTGATGCCGGCAGGTTTTTATGGAGCTGGAGCTCGGCTGGAAGTTCGATTTCCAGTCACTAATTAATGATTTGACCTCATCGGGGTCTGCAGCTTCTTCATGAAGGGCAGTGCGGGGGGCAGCTCTGTGTGACAGGGACAGCCCCCAGGGAATGGCTGGAGCTGTGTCACGGCAGGCTCAGGGTGGATCTCAGGGAAAGGTTCTTCCCCCAGAGGGTGGTTGGCACTGAACAGGCTCCCCAGGGCAGTGGGCACAGCCCCAAGGCTGCCAGAGCTGCAGGAGGGTTGGGATGATGCTCTGGGGCACAGGGTGGGATCGCTGGGGTGTCCCGGGCGGGACGGGGGGCCGGACTGGGTGATCCCTGTAGGTCTATCCCGCCGATATCCCACGATCCCACCGTGTGGGCTGAGGGGGGGGCGGCGGGGACCGAGAGCCCTCAGCGCTGGGGAGACCCCGCCCCTCGCCCCGCCCCTCCCGCCTCTCCCCCGCCAATCAGCGCTGAGGGGCGGAGCCTCCTCGGGGCGCGGGAACGGCTGCGCCGCTCTCCCATTGGCCGGGGCCCGCGCGCGCCGCCGGGCCCGCGCGCTCCGCCATCTTAGCGCGGGAGGCGCGCGGGGCGGAGGCGCCGCCGCCACCGCCACCACCAGCACCATGAGCGCTCCGGACACCGCCAACCTGAGCGCCACCGGCACCGCCACCGCCGCCCTGAGCGCCACCGACACCGCCCGCGCCGGCCCCAGCCTCGCCCCGCTGCTGCACACCCTGCAGGACCCCGCCGCCCCGCCGGGAGAGCTCACGGACGCGCACCTCACCATCGTCAGGTGGGCGCAGGGGGCACGCGCGCACCGCCTGAGGGGACCGGCCGGGCATGGGGAGAGAGAGAGGGAGAGAGGGAGAGAGAGAGACCCGGCAGGGCCGCGGCACGGCCTGACCCGCGGGCAGGAGGGAGGCAGGGCCGGGGGAGCGCCGGCCTCGGTTGGGATGAGGGAGGAAGGGCTGGGAGCGGCGGGGCCGCGGGGGGGAGACCGAGGGAGACACGCGGGGCTGAGGGAGGAGAGAGGGAGGGGAAGGAAGGAAGGAAGGAAGGATGGATGGATGGAGGGATGGTTGGATGGATGGATGTCTCCATCCTTCGAAGGAAGGAGCGAAGAAAGGATTGAAAGAAGGAAAGAGAAGGAAAGGAGGATGGGGAAAGGGAAGGAAGGGAGGATGGAGGGAGGAACGAGCTCGTTTGCCTTAACAGGCTCTGAGCATCCCAGAGCCTCCCTCCCCTCCCGCGTTTCCCGGGGAATCTGCAGAGGTGGGTGCGGGAATATTGGGAAATAGTAACTTTTTTTTTAATGGAAAAAAAAAAGGCCTGCATTTCAGCTCTGTGATTGGAGAGGTGATGTTTTCATTGTGTTTCTCGGGTTTTGGAGTGGTCGCGCCTTGGTTTAATTGCGTGTCTTTCCAGAAGGTGCTTCTTCACCAACAGGTCCTGCCTTCACCTGCATCTGTCCCATTTTATCACGTGCAAAGGCACCATCTCTGTCCGTCAGTGTCTCCCATGGGTTCCTGCTCTGCAGTTCTGTAGTGACTTTTAAAACTGTAATTACTCAGATACCAGTTTTTACAACTTTTTAGTAAAAACTGACAGAGGAGAAAAAAAAAAAAAAAGTCCTGACTTAATCCTTAAATCCCATCAGGTTTCTCAGGTTGTCCCCAGGATGACTGAACTTGTTGTGGTTGGTTTTTGCTCTGGGAAACTGATTGTTAACATTTCATAGGACAATTACAGATTCCCTGTGTGGATGTTTTTCACATGTGTGCAAAGTCACCCTTGCTTGTTGTCAAGCCAGGATTTTCCTGGGGTTGGGAGCCTGAATTCTGGGGCTGGTTATGAGGAGTGTGCTTTTTAAGCCCATAGATTTCTGTTAAATGTAACTTTTCAGCAGTCATTTAAAGTTTGGGTGTTAACTTTTAATGTTTTTAATAGAAGTTGACAAAGAAATTAAAGGGCTTGATTTTTTTTCTTTTTTAATGCTCTCTAAGCACTAAATGGGTCATTAATCACTTTTGTACTGTAACACAGTATTTTACTGCTGGGTCGTGTTGTGACTGACATTTTTGCCGTTTAACTTCTCCAGTGTTCTGTTTATTTCCTTCAAGGAAAACATCCTGGCTAATGTGTCTCCGAAATGGAAAGTTATGTGGGTTATGTTTGTAAATACTGTTTGTTTTCCCCCCTGCTCCTGAAAGTCGCCTGAGTGGTGAAGGAGGCAAAGCATTCGGTGCAGATGTCAGAAAACACTTTCCTCAACTCTGCAAGGTGTTTAAGGTAGGGGTTTTGTTTTTTCCATTCTGTTCTCTGCACTTGAGTGAACAAAGACATGTTTGGGTAGGTGAGGTCAGCAGGCATTTGTAAGGCTCAGGGTCTTGGATGTGTTCAGGCAGCATCACACACACAAACCCCATCTTCCAGCCTCTAGAAACACTTCAGAATTCACAAGATTTTTGAAGATTATTGTTAAGAGCCTAGCCATCTTTAACTTGTGGTTTAGGTATTTAAAAACACTTGGAGAGTCCAGTGATAGACCATGACATACATAACCAAAGTAAAGGAATTTACTTCAGGAAAGATGTCTAAATAGAGAGCAAAAGTGTCTTCAGCACCTCACGTTGTCCTGTTGATTTGGAATTTAGGGAACCAGGGTGAATTTGCTGGTGTTCAGACAGCTAAGACAGTATTTCTCAGCTGCTCCTGGAACCTGAGACTTTGTGGGTTTGTGTTCTTTTTCCAGGCACACATTGCCAGCCCAAACTTGGAGCTCAGTAATGCAGCACTGCAGGCCTTGGGATTCTGCACTTTTAATTCAGCTAATACAGCTGAATTATCTGGTAAGCAAACAAACCTGAGTGTGTAAATACATACAGGGAGCTCTTCCTTTGTCTGTCTTGGCATTTAGTTCAGTTTTGACCAGGTTTGCAGTCCCCAGGTGGTGCAGTGGCTTTGTCTCTGATGTGAGCAGTGTGAGCAGTTCACTCATTCCATCTTGTGCCCGAGGAAGGTGGGGATTTTTTATGCTCTTAACACTGGTTCTGTTTTGCTAACTTTTCATTTCACTGAATACTCTGGTAGTAATTGGGTTCTGTAAATAATTTTATAGAATTAACTGTCGAAAAAAGGAAATCCAAAAGGAAGTTTGTGAAATCAGTAATCAAAAGTCCAGGTGGAAAAAGAGTGAAGAGCCGGTTTGTAGAATTTGGGTGTGCATAGTAGTGCTCTTCCATGTTTTTTCCACTCCTACCTGGTAATTCCTGATTGTTAAATCACGGAGTGGTTTGAGTGTGAAGAGACCATTAAAGGTCATTTAGTGCAGCCCCAAATATTGGGCTGCTGGGTATTTCCAATGGAACTAATCCAGAGTAATCCAAGATCTTATGACCTGCATTCCCAGAAAGTGCTAAACCCCCTTCAGCAGAGGTTTTGCTGCTGAGAACTCCAACCTTTG